GTGGCTAAATATTGATAATGATATCGAAAATTTGATTAAAAGTTGTCAGAATTGTCAACAAGTCAGAAATAATCCACAAAAAGCCGAAAATCATATTTGGGAACCAACGAGTAAGCCTTTTGAAAGAGTACATTTCGATTTTGCAGGTCCTTTTCAAGGAAAATATTTTGCTATTTTAGTTGAYGCATTTTCAAAGTRYCCAATTGTTAAAATAGTAAATAACAYTACAACAGATTCTACAATTAAATTCTGTCKAGAAATTTTCGCAATGTTTGGTATTCCTAAAGTTTTTGTGAGCGACAATGGTTCTCAATTGTGCTCGAAACAATTTAAAGAATTTATTCAAAGTAACAATATAGTACATAAACAAACTGCACYTTTTCATCCAGMAAGTAAYGGACAAGCWGAACGTTTTGTTCAAATTCTTAAAAACGCCTTAAATTCATTAATAAAAGAAAATAAAAACATTGAATTAAATTTACAAAAACTTTTAATGCACTACAGAATTACACCTCATTGTAGCACAAATGAAACTCCTGCATTTTTAATGTTTTCTAGAGAAATTCGGTCAAGATTAGATTTGCTTAGACCAGATACAATTTACACACATTCTAAGGATTACAATAATAATAAAAAATTTAGAAATGTACAAGTAGGAATTTTGGTGCAAGTAAGAAATTATGGGGGAGACAAATGGGTAAGGGGAGTTATTATACAAAAAATTGGAAAATTACATTATCTGATAAAGTTAGACGATGGACGTATTTGGAAAAGGCACATCAACCAAATTATTACAACCACATAAACTTGAGTCAATTTTATTTACATGTATTCTTATAGTGATGAGTACTTTTCCGTTTCCATTTTTTTTTAATTCCCAGAATCCCAGGACCTGTACATCCGAAGTGTCAATAAGACCCGCGAGTGGACAAGTCAATAAATGAAAAGTGGTTACTTCTGAAATTACCTACCTATATACAAATGAATTAAGAAGGGGAGGTGTTCTGGATCAAGTAATTAAGTGATCAAGTACACATTGGAATTACTGTTGTTAGTTACTTCAAGTTACAATTAATTTATATACAAGTCATAATTTGAAAATACAGAAGTTTTATAAAGAATTCCATATCCATTTATTAATACACCCTCTACAAACACTACAGGTAAGATATCAGGAACATGGAAAAATGTTTTGGTCAGTTTTGGTCCTTTCATTCCACGAAATACAACAAATATACAAGGTGTTTATAAATGTCTGGGCATCAAGTTGGCTTTGCAAATTATGTCAACATGTTTTTAACAACCATTTGCCGCTTCACTGATATTTTGAATTCAGCACTTTCAAAGATGGTTTAGCCCCAGACTCAGGTCGGATTCATGTGAAAAATACAGAATAAATTAATTTTGGAAACGATATTGGATCCATATCGTTTTTAAAAAGAATTTATGAGATCCTCTATTGGATTATTTGAAGATGATTTTTCGCTTATAAATTTGTGAAGATTTTTTCTGCTGGTGTTCAAGTGCTTATAATGTTTTTTTTTGTGTGACAGAGGTAGGGTACCTACAGTGCGTGTACAGGGATTCACAAACCAATATACACAGGTGTTTCAAATCTTGGTGGGTGTCCACTATGGCAGATTATAGATTGAATTCACAAGACTAGACTAAAATTGTTTCAAGTAAGTAGTGGAAATGCTAACTATCAAGTGATGTCTAACGTTTGGCTGAATTGAAACCTCACTTATGAAAAGGATCCTAAATAAAGAAGAAAATAACTCTAAAAACTAATTTTTCATTAATGTGCAAGTGTTTCCAATTTATTAATACGCAATGTAAACTCCGTACAATTTGATTGGGTCCACCTCGTGGTAATTTCGGTGAGAATGGACCAGTCTAAGTCAATTGCACAGGAAGTGCACCCAATTAAACCGCACGGGTTAGTTCAAAAATAAAAAAATTAAAATAAATAATCATTTTCTTATAGTCTTTACGACAGATAAGTTATTGGTTGCCCACTAAAACTACCCTTAAAAAATTTTACAACTTAAAAGAAAGTAGAAAATTAACTCCATATTTTGTTGTCAAATCTATGTTAAATAAATTGAAACAACACGTTACAAAAATAATTCATTAAAACTTAAAGAAAATGTTGAAAATGAGCCCTATTTTGCTGTAAGCACAGTCTAACGCGTCTTTTTTTATTTTCAAATATGTTTTGCAACATTTCTTCCCCAATATTAGTGTAACAATTTTCGATTTGTAATCTTAATTCATCTAAATTTTCGATCCTGTGCTTAAAAACGGTGTCTTTAATGTAACCAAAAATAGAAAAGTCAAGAGGAGTTAGATCTGGTGAACGAGCGGGCCAAGGAATATTTGTTCCTCTGCTAATGATTCTGTCATCAAAATATTGTTGAAGGTATCCAATTGATGTATGTGCAGTGTGGGCTGTAGCACCGTCCTGTTGAAAATATCCTTGTCTTAATTCATCATCGTGTAACTGGTTAATAAACACATTTAAAATTTGTTCCCTATAAACTTGGGCAGTAACTGTTTGATGAAAAAAAATTGGTCCAATTATTCGTCTCCGGGATATGGTTAACCATATCCCAATATTGAGTGGATGCAAAGGTGTTTCAATAAAGGCGTGGGGATTTTCAGCGCTCCATATCCTGTAATTCTGTGAATTAACATATCGCGATAAATGGAACCATGCCTCATCAGTGAAAAAAGAAAGGTCTAGCAAGTCATTGTTGTTCAAGTGATTTTGAAACCAATTGCAATACTGAACACGATGTTGATAGTCTGGTGGCAAAAGTTCCTGAACAGTACTGATTTTATAGGGATGAAACCGTAGCTTTTTTTGGCAATCTTGTGACAAGTGCTCAAAGGAGCATTAATCTGTTGAGATATTCTTCGCAGCGAAGTGCTGGGATTTTCTTCGATTCCCTGTCTCACATTTTCAACAGTTTCTTGCGATACACCAGGTCTTCCTGAGGATGTTCCTTTTTGCACAGATCCAGTGGCAATAAATCGATTTATTGCATTTGAAATGTGTTTTCGCAAAATTTCTTCCTGTACTGGAATTTCTGGAAATCTTGCATAAAATTCATTCATGCAAGCCGGGATAGAGTAATTCCAGGATCCATTATCAAAAGTCGCATTGCGACAATAAGACATAACGATAAATCTATCTTGTTCGATGGTGTAGTTCATTATGGTATKCTGAAGATTGTTTGAAATTTAAAATTGTAATCATTAATCARTTAATTATTACCTCTTTCAACACTTAAATAAACTTTACGCGACAAACGTCTTCAAAAACAGCAACAGCCAACAACAAAGGAAACACGAAAATTATTCAAACAACAAAGAAAACAGCTAACAAAATACACACAGCTAACCTGTGACAGAACAACCAACAACACAACAAACAAAATTTTAAAACACGTTAAGAAAACTAATTAGGTGAAGTTTTAATTTATGCGGACTGACCGTTGACATAAAACTTCAAAGTGACAGGCACAGACGACGAGACCGCTACACACTCACGAGGGGTGTATTACGTATAATCATCACAACAAGACGGCAAATTTAACAAAAATTCCAGATGTAACTTGATGCCCAAGCATTTATAAACACCGTGTATAATTAACCTTCAAGGACACTAAATCAAACCTCAATTTAAATCATAGTCTTTGTAAAAAAAGTTTTTGTTTTTTTTATAAAAATTTAAAAAATTGCGAAACTCAAAAACAAAAGACAATTTCGAAAAAAAATTGTCTTGGTTTATAGTTTTGATAAAACGTCATATTTTTTATCATTCACCATGAGTTTTCAAAAAATAAATAATTTAAGTACAAACGTTTGGTTTCATACTTTTTATTCACTCTGTATAAAAAAATGAACAATCTTGCAAAAATCCTTAACATCTACACTCTAGAATTCTAAAAATCGATTTTCAGAATGTCTTAATTGTTGATACAGTAGCTAAACCTGGTTTACTTTGAGCTCCGACATGTCAAGCTAAACTAAATTAGTAGGTATTACTAGGTGTGTCGATCCTCCTCCCCCAACAGTTAGTTCTGGGCAAAATAGGCCCACTACATATCCATGGCATCGCTAAGATTAGTTCAACATCAGGGGAGCTGGTTATTATTATTATTATTGCAGTCTCAGGTGCTTTTTTTGGATCACTGGATCGCGATATCGCTATCATAATACCTATTGCACACCCAGGGCAAGTGGTTGTTGGCAGGACAGTGTTGTCCATCGCACGCCAGGACTGGAGTGTAGTCGCACGTCCAGATGAGGTAAGCGGGCTGGTTGGGATGTATGACCTGTGCTTCTAGAGTCCTTTTCCTGTGCTTCTGGAGTCCTCAAAAACCAGGACCGAGATTTATCTAATCTTTCACATTCGGACAGAGCTCAACTGATTCTATTCTATTTATATTGATTTTATTCGATGGATATTTTTGATTAATTTTGGTTAATCGCTTTTTCTTTCACGATTGTGGGGCCCTATATGGATCAGCAGATTGTTACTACGAGTACCCCCATTTTTTTACAGGCATCGCCTTATCATTAAATGATGCTCTCAGATATCGACACCTTAGCACCAGCTGTCCTGACTGAATTATTTCAAAATGGTTTCAAAATAGGCCTTACATTTTTTATTTATTTTTAATTACCAAGTGGCGTGTTATTTGTGTTATCACTAGTCTTCACGAGGGGCGAGTTTTGATAAAAATAATACATAACTCCAAATGGCGGATGTTATCCTTCTATTCATTTTTGCGTAGTTTAAAAATGTAATTTCTGTTTTGATAAAAAAAAATTGATAATGTACACAAAGTTCAATATTCCAAGTAATTTATGTAAACGTCATAGAATGTTTTGAGTTCCTCTTTGTTCTAGAAAGTGATCGTCGATAGTGGGGACGTAAAGTAATTTCCTGAAGGTGTGTATTAAGCGAGGACAGCAGTAGCGTCTCTCTCTGTTCGTTTTGTTTGTCTTCTCGATTTGGACCAATCAGAAAGCAAGAAAATGATTATCGATTGACGCAGTCGTATGACGTAGCCATCGTGTAATCGGAACGGAAATTTGTTACGTCGTGTTGTTTTGATAGAATAGGAGAACGAGAAAGGCAAGTCGAAACCAAGGTGTTGTGAAATGTACGAGGAATTGGTAGTTTGGTGCTAATTTTGCGTTAAAAATCTTGGAAAGTTGTGTTGATTAGTCTCAAGTGACAGCAGTGAGTTGGAAAAGCGTCCCGAAATCGTGCCATCTGTTCGAAAACGGGTCCTCTTTGTTCGGTGCAATCGAATCAGTCGCGTCCATTTTGTGAAAGCAAAATTGCGCCGTACACGAATCGAACGACGGCTTTCTCACGTAAAATTCGACATCTTGGTCTGTGATAAAACGAGGACTTTATGTTCATATTCCGTTGCAAAGACTCAACCGTGCAAAAGTGTGTCAGTGCGGCGGCAATGGCGAGGAAGAATTCGGACGGGGGTCCCCGCAATCGGCCCAAGGGCCCCACGACACCCCGACATAGCCCCGTGAGGGGCTCCGCCGCCTCCCCAACCGGAGCTGGCCACTACGCTGGCTGCAAGTGGACCGAGCCACCTCTGCCCTCAGCACTGCCCCCGCCGCCCCAGCACTGGATGCAGGCGCCGCCTCACTCGCGAGTACTGCCCTTTCGGCAGCCCAAGCCTGAGCAACACGATATCGAAAACCAGCTCAAGGTGCTGCTCAAGGTGCAAGCTTGACCTGAGATCGGTCGCAGGTGCCACCTCAAGAGACATTTGATATCTTTATATATAAATTTACGACGAGTGAACAATTGAGGACTATTCAAAACTAATTTTAAGTCTGTTGGTAGCGAGTGAACACGACAATACTAAATTCCGGTTATTTTTATTATGCCTAAGGACGGTACTACAATTCTGATGGTCCTGATTTCGAACAATTAACAGATTGTCCTGTTCAGCCGCATTGTGATACACAATCACTACACACAAATCCAGTGATTGTACACTAGGTTGTAGACATATATTATAGTTTAAACATTTACTTAAGTCTATTTCTGAATGTGATTTTTTTCAACTGTTGAAAATTGTAAGAAGAGAAATTTGAGTTTGTATTTGTGATTGTGAGCAGTGCTCAAATAAGTGTCACGATATATGTTTAGTTTTTAATACTCTGCCGTAACAAAGTAGCATCCAAATCTAGTCTAAAGTGCATCAACTGAGATTATAACATTTATCCTCACCCGTGGAATTTTTAACCATTGGGAAGACTGAACACGGGATAAAAGTTACAATTTCTATTGATGTCAAATAAAGCTTTAAATAATAATTGTAGATATGGAGAATATTTAATCAAGTCAATTTTAAATTATGGTATCAACAGTGTGGGATAACAGTACAAATATAACTTGGATGCTATTTTGATATATTCCCAGAATTTTAAAAAAGAACATCTTACAATGTATAAATGAACCGTCAATTATGACGTGTATTTTTGTTAAAACGCAGTACAAATGTGTAATCACGATTAAATTTAAGGAGATGCATATTAGCTATAAGATGTACAATTCAACACCAAAAATCATGACAAACTAATTTTCTATGATACATTATCAAATCACTCCTTCGATGTTGAATTGTACACCACTTGCAAGAGTTCGTCGTCATCATTCAATGTTGTTTGAGGCAAGAAAGATGCTCAAGTCTTCCAAAATGCCTGAATAACAAATTGCAGTGATGTGCAATACTGTAAATTATATAAATTTTATTTTGGTGATATAACGTTTTTTTATGTATAAGAGATTCTATTTTTATTTTGAATATTTCGAAATGTTGTTTTTTGTTGGACCCACAAAATTCATACAAAATTTGTTAATTTCTATTTAAATTAACTGAGGGGTATTTAGGATCTCTAACGTTAAGATTATGTTAAGTTTTATTTAAGGAATGTCAGATCTCATATGTTCACTTTTAAAAGAGTCATCAACTAGCAATATGTTTTTTAACAAAAATCATGTACGTATATCTCATCTCCATCCTACAATCTGTGATACCTCGTTCCTCTCCCCTAATAAAAAATCCCACTTAACCGAAACTTTTCCCCGAATTGATTACTTTTCCCATCCTTGTATTCCTTCCTATCCTCGGGGTTCAACCCCACCAAATTATTCACACAAAAAAAGGTTCACACAAGCAAGATAATTTATAAATTTTCCAGGTTTTTGTTTCTAGTTGGACGTCCTGATTGATGTCTCCAGTTCTTCATGTGTTAAATTTCGTTTTTTTTTCGAATCCATCAAAATTTTAATAAAACCGTTGTTTTTTAAAATAATTTTCAGGGAAAAACAAGTTTTCTGGAATTTCTCACCTCGCTTCTTTTCTGTAATATTTTTATAAGGTAGAAAATAATTCAAAACCGCATAGTGCTCTATTACGTTTATTTTAACATTGGTACAGGTATAATCATTATTTCTTTTTTTTTTAATTAGGTACTTACATCAACATTTTTCTTACGAACATTTGTACTTGTTGAATTTAAGCCAAATTTCAATCGGTTTCAAAGTAAGAAATTTAATATTTAATTACAGTTACTTGGCATCTGAAATTTAAGGTAAGCGATTTTGATTTTAACCATTCACAATAATGGGAAGCCCTGATTTTAAATTTAACACACTAAATTCTTGTTTTTTAGGTTGAAGGAAGAATTTTCATTTCATAAGAAGTGGATATCAAAGGTTGTTTCTCAAAAAATTAATTTTTGTACTACTTATATGAAATGTGTTGTTCGCAAATGACAAAATTTGCATGATTACAATAAATAAATACAGGGTGCGTCAGAACTCGCGCCCCAGAGAAAAAATTCAAGTACGATAAGATACCAGGAACATGGCAAAAATATTTAAAAAATTCAATTTGTCAAATTTTTTTGACATTTGACATTTTTTTATGTTTATTTAATGATACTGATGACCTTGTATATATTTTTTTACAATTATTTAGTAAAGGTGGTAAAGGTACAAAAATTTTGCCAATAAAAGCCATAAATAACATTAAACAGAGTTACAATTTAGTATGTTTCCTTGTTTCCTCTCCTAATAGGCTGTAGCAAAAAAACTTGAGAAATTATTTTTGCAACAGAAATAAATAGTCAAAGTGCAAAATTTAAACTCTCATAACTTCGAAATTTTTATAGATAACATTTTTTCCATGTTCCTGGTATCTTACCTTACCTTTTTCTCTGGGGCGCGAGTTCTGGCGCACCTGTGTATATCCTATGTGTAAAAAATTTTGGAAACAAAGCGGAACAATTTAATAAACAGTTGTTGAAAATTGTATACTTTCTTACAAAATTAAGTACAAATAAGCAACTATTTCTAATGAGACTAATTTATTAAGGCTGAAAAGGAATATATTTTTTTGTAAAATCATCATATAGGTCGCAGCGTGATTATTTTTATAGTAGAAGAAAAACATTGGGTTCATTGTTATAAAATTAAAAAAAGACCGACAATAACTAAAAACGAATGCTGATTTGGCTGCTATGTGTCATCAATAACAGGACAGTCCTGCACCCAAAAATAGTACAAATTGAAGCCATTACTTAATATTTAACAGTAACGCTGTTACCCTTGTGGGAGCCCTAATTTAAATATAATTATATGGAAAAATATGTTGTACATATTAGAGACTATTTTGCACTTAAAGTTTTTAGATTGGAAACATCTGATTTTCTGAATATACACAACTTATTAGACTTATTTGAACTATAGGTCATTAAGATCAAAGTATTTGCTTTAGGGTTTGTATCAATATGTTTCAATAAACAACAAACTATTAATATGTTAATTTATTAATAAATTTGCAAATTCAGCACTGCAATATCAATACAAAATAACTGACTTGACATTACTACAAACTGTTAATTAAGATTTTAAAGTTAAAAATGAATGAAATCCAAATCTATTACATTGGTCTTCCCATGCCACGTCCCATTTGTGGCTGAGCATCCCCAGATTTTTGATTTTTGATGGTCTCATCCACCGACAGAATTAAACAAGTGGTTTCAGTCGCGGCCGTTAAAGCATTAGCCTTGACAATAGCAGGCTCCCAAACACATGCCTCCAGATTATCGCTTATATCTTCTTTGTTGATGTCAACACCGTACCAGCAATGGCCTTGCGCATGTTTCTGTCTTAATTTATTCAAAATGTTTGTAGCATCAAAACCAGCATTGTCGCATAATTGTCTCGGGATTATTTCCAAAGCTTTGGCAATGGCCCCAATGAGTAATTGTTCTTTTCCGGCTATAGTTCTCGAATAATCCCGCAACATTCGAGAAAGCTCCATTTCGATAGCCCCGCCGCCTGCGACGACCGCATCGTTTTTAATTGTCCTTCGCACAATCATGATGGCGTCGTGCAGAGACCGCTCGGTCTCTTCAAGAAATTGTTCGGCTCCGCCGCGGAGAATGATTGTGCATGTTCTGGCATTGGGACATCCTTTGAAAAAGTTGAATCGTTCGCTGCCGATTTGACGTTCTTCGAAGTATTCGCATTTACCCAACACCGAATCGTTGAGATCGTGAACTGTCGTCATGACGGCTCCGCCACAAGCTTTCAATGTGCGCTTGAGGTCTTCTTCAGGAACGCGACCGGCACAGAACATGTCTCTGGAATCAAATATAAAGATTAGAAAATTTATCCAATGCTTCTAGTCCGAAAATACTACATTAATTTTCAACAAAAAAGTTTTAATTTGAATGTGCACTCATTTGGTGTCACATATTTATAGGGAAGTTTACAAGTTCAAATACATAGACTGGTATATACAGGGTATTTCACACAACTTTACCAAGCTTGCTCCTAATCTACGCACCCAAATATACAAAATTCACAAAACACTATATGCAAAAAATACTCACTTAATTATTTAATTTTTGGAGACCCATGACAGTAGTTGTCAAACTAATCACTGTTTCATTAATAGTCAGTCATAAACTGCAGTTTTTCAGAAACAATTATCATTTGTTCTATCAAGAATATGCTTCTAGTTTATCTATCTTAATCACTAACTAACTAAAACTGTTGTAATTTTTGAAAGGGTGAACAAACTAGAAAAGATTATCCAATTTTTCAAAATGTGTAATAGACTTCGTATCGGAATATGTATTATTGATCTTACAGGCAAGGCCTCGCAAAATTATGTGACACCCTGATAGTATTCAATTTACACATGTTTATTAAAAAATAAATTAATTTTAAATTAAAAAATCGCTGCGAACCTAATATTTATTATTCTTGCGCAGGGGTCCTTGCTAACATCTTGTTTACCAGCCATCTCAAGTCTTTTTTTTAATGGTTGTTAGGGCATAAATATGTATGTACAGTTGCGGAATTAAAATTTTGGGCAGTATTGTGATTTTCATTATGTAAACTCTAAGACAACCTTTACATTAATAACCTCATTTTTTACTCTTGTCATGTTTATGTCATTATATTTTGACTTACCTATTTACTTACAGTAAACTTTTTAAAGTGAGAAAAATACTGCCCGAAATTTTAATTCTGCAACTGTACAAATCTTTGTTTTTTTTTTGCATTTTTAATGCTGATTTCTATTGTAAACTTATTATTGCAATTGAATAAATTGAATATTTTGACAAATTAATCATTTTCTTAGTTATTTTCAAAATTTTTATTAATTTAGTTCGTTGAGAGGAACGTTTTTGTATGCATCTTTGGAATAAACATCGTTATTAGCTTAAATGAAAATTATCTACTACATTCCGTTGATACATAAATAACAATTATTTTAGTTTGTCGTTATTTTTGGTCTTCTTTTAATTGTCTGGAAAAATTGGGCACAGTGAACCTCCGAGGTCTAGATATACATACAGGGGTGTCCAGGGGTTCGTGCACGCTCTTCTATCCAAGTTATCGACATGATTTTTTTTTAAACAATGAGGCAGATTATAAAAACATTTGTATTCATATACAGGGTGTCTCAAATAAGATACACAACTAAGTTCCGTTTTTTAAAATGAAAACCACAATTTTTTATTACATATCTGGATTCGCCAAAATAACGCACCTTGGTTTCTTAGACTTACCTATAATAGTTTTTGACTTATGCCAATTTATTTGTCAAAATTGCATCGTGTATAGGACCCACAAAAAAATTCATAACTTCAAAACTATTCAATTTAACCAATTTTTTTCCAGTCGATTCCTTAAGCTTTAGCACATCTTTTGAGAAAAAGGCAAACTCGGAGTCGATGTTCCATCGCCTACTACGATTTTTAAAAAATGACAAAATACAAATGGCAATAACTCGATTTTTTTTAAATACAACACTCTATATTTTATGGCATTAGTACATGGCATTTTTTATGAGCTTTTTGATGATGTAGGGTTCATGGGGTTTACTTTGTAAAATTTGTACGATTTTTGCAAAATAAGAAATGTTGTTTTTTTCTAAAAAAAAAAAGGAATCGAGTAGGCTGCTGTCGTAAAATTTGACACTTTCGTGTACTTTTAATAATTGTACACATCTAATTGTCAATAATGAATTTCACTCGTAAAGAAGATGCAAAATATGAGGACGACTCGGAAGACTTCATAGACTCTCTAATGAAGTGTTGGATTCAATAAATTCAACTTACTGTCAGTTTTTTCAAATCACAAGACTAATTCTGTTTTAAATGCGGATAAAGCACATTTTTTCAACTGATGTATTTTGTTAGCTCTATAACTCGCTTACGGTTAGTCCTACAATAAAAATGCAAAGGACGATTTTTGTAGGAAATTTTGTAAGCTTTAATTTTGATAAGCTTTGAACTAGCTTTCTTTTGATGTGCTACAAGTGCGGTTGTGCCATTTTAATTTTTAAATTTGGGGTGCGTGGGGGTTATAGAGTTACTAGGGGTAATTTAAATATTATACCAAAGAATGTGCCCCTTGAAAACAAAACTGACATATTTCGGCGTTTTTGCAAAGTTTTTTTTTTGGTTTCTGAGATATTCGGGGTGGCTCGTTTTTAGTAGGCCACCCTATCACCCTATATCAAAAGTCCACAAAGGTGGGGGCAACCTCGAGAAGAGAGAGAAGGTTAAAGGTGGCTTTTTTCGGTTTTTTGCTTATATAAGGGCTATTAGAGGTGACGTCACAGACGCGACTGTACTGAAGCTAAACATACAGTGTTGCCAGTTGTGATACTAGATTTTTTTTACTAGATATTTATATTTTTAGTTGCAAACAAATAATAATTTATATTCTCAGCCAAATACACATTATGTGAATGTTAATATATTTTATTTTGTTTTGGTACGACCTATCCACTCCTGTCGTTTGCAACATTCTGGCAATACTGTACACATATTTTTGACGTACACAGAAAGTGAGGTTAGAACAGATTAAATTACAGAAATGTTGACTACAATTGTTAAAACCATTACGAAACGACATACATTTTTCATAGCAACTATTTCCTTAGAAACAATCTCCCTACACGTCCAGGATTCAAGAAATAAACTTTTATTTGTTTAGCTTCAAAGGTACAGTCAGGTACCTTGCTGACGTCACACTAATAGCGCGTATTTCGGAACCGATCACTCCTATTGGTTTTTACATTCTTATCAAAATTAAAGCTTACAAAATTTGGTAAGCGAGTTATAGGGCTGACAAAAAACATCATTTAAAACAATTAATTAGTCTTGTGATATGAAAAAACTGAGAGTAAATTGAATTTACTGGGTCAAATAGTTCATTAAAGGAGGGGGGAGTCATGAGAATCTATGAATACAAACTCATCGTTTATGTAATTAATGCAGAATTTTCTGTCTATAAGTTTTAATCAATATATCGATATTAAATCAACCAAAAAAAGACAACTTTAATTTATTTTTCCACCGATCGCCCTATTTTTGTCTAATTTGATTGGGATAGTAAAGTTTAATTGAATAAGGCCCGATTTCGGGTACGATTAAACCTCAGGTAAAATTTAACTGCTGGACAGTTGCTAAAGTAGCGTTGATCTGATTGGTTTTGCCATGGTTTAACTGAAGTTTAAATTTATCTCTCCGTTAAATATGTTTCCAGAAACCAGGCGTATGATCTATCATCCTGCGAGAGACTGATGATAGATATAAAAACAATATCCATTATTGATAGATGAAACAATTGCTTACAGTAAATCCTGAGGACTCTAAAACTTAAAATAAGTTTTACTTAATTTAAGATTTTTTAAAATATAACTTCAATTTCAAAAGTCAGAAAATACAAAAACAGTTGCTACACGTAATATTTTTTTTTCATAATTAAGACTTTCAGGCGGCATAAAAGTACAATCGTCGTTAAGATGCCCAAAACAGACATTGCAATTCAATTAATTAACGATGATATGCTTCTCAATAAAGTACCACTGAGTTAGTGTGAGACTTTTTGAGAGCCTGTATACCTAGTGTTTCAGATATGTAATTTAAATAATTGAAAACACATACCTATCAGCAAAATACTGTGTGGCAACATCACCAATGGGGAGTTTGGACAGAACGACATTAGCTCCAGACTCGTGAATCTTCTGCAACTTTTGATATAAGATGTTCCATTCTGCATCCACAATCTTTTGATATTCCTTAACATTGTCAACTCTAACTTCAGCATTATCTCTCTCAGCTTTTAACTCAAGTTCAATGTTAAGCAGTGCAATTTTGCAATTGTGATAATTTTTCGGTTGCATTTCAAAGCCTGCATACGAAAAGGTTTTCTTAAATGCCACTCCAGCGACTAAAACTGAATCTTCCAAAGCACCTCCTTGGATTTTCTTGATACCAATCATATTTAATGGTAATAAATCATCCAATAATAAGACCGCATCCACTACCATTTTAGAGAAAAAGTCACGTTGTTGATTAATTAACTTGGAACTCATTGCAGTTGCGGCACATTTTTGCAACAAAGAATGAAATTCAGATGCATTTTCTTTGTTAATTTTAATAGCCAACTCGCTGATTTTATCAAGACATAATTGCAATGAGCGCCTCACTGCTTTAATAATAATGCGTGGGTGAACACCTTCTTCTACATATGGTTTAATTTGTTTCAAGAATTCCCCCGCAAGAAGGACAACACTGGTGGTGCCATCACCTACTTCAGCATCTTGAGATTTTGCAATATCAACCAAACTTTTTGCAGCAGGGTGGACGACATCGAGAAGTTTCATAATAGTCGCACCATCGTTCGAAATAGTAGCTTTACCGTTTTTTTCAACGATAAGTTTGTCCATTCCACGGGGACCTAAAGTGGTGCGTACAGCATCAACAACTGATTGACACGCATTTATGTTTGATATAAGCTGCGGTTTTCCTTGCGAGCTATCTGTACCTTCTTTCAATAAAAGGATCTGTGGTTGCTGTTGAGAAAAAAAGAAATGTTTAGAGACAGGTGTGGTGCCGGTAGCAATGTCCAAAATTGGTATAAATAGTTTAAAATCTTTAACATAATTAAAACAGTCTAACACACTTACCATCATTTTGATGATATAATGAATAATTCAGGTTTCTTTCAGGTATAAAAGAATTTAGAGATTCTTTTTGCAAAACGTGACTGTTAGTGAGCTTCTTCTGTCATTCACTAGTAAAAATACGATTGCCAACTGTTACATTTAGTGACATTTTCTTTAACAAAAACGTCCTAATATTCTTTGGTTTAGTCAACAATTAATAGTAACATTTTCATTTAAAAAACAGCAAGAATAAATTATCAGCTGGTAACGAACACTGGTAACCAATTGGAAAAAAAATGTTATCAGAATTTAATGTTGGCTATTCTGAATTTTGATTTGATTTCCGCCTCGGCAATTCTCTCTGTTCTGTGGCAATCGATATCATTGATTAAAACAAGTAATACTACAGGGTGTTTCACATAATTTTACGAGGCCTGCGTCTGTATGTAAGAGGCAATCAATAATAAGTACATATTCCGATACGAACTCGATTACAAATTTTGAAAAATTGGATAAACTTCTCTAGTTTGTTCATTCTTTAAAAAATTACGTTTTTTGTTAGTTAAGTTATTAAGATAGATAAACTAGAATCATATTCATGCCATCTCTTGATAAAGCAAATGATAAATCCCCAAATGATAATTGTTTCTGAACAACTGCAGTTTATGGTTTCTGCACAACTGCAGTTTATCGTTTCTGTACAACTGCAGTTTATGACTATTAATGAAACACTGATTAGTTTGACAACTACTGTCATGGCTTTCCAAAAATTAAATAATTAATTGTGCACTTTTTGTATCCAGTGTGACTGAGTGCGTACATTAGGCGCAAGCCTCGTAAAGTTGTGTGAAACACCCTGTATTGTTGGATTCGTTGGTTTGTTTTAAAACAAACAATAAGTAAAATGTAATTACAATAATTAACACAAAATGTTTATTTATTAACCAATTAAGAATTTTCACTTTCTTTAAATTGACATTTAGTGCAAGTATAAAATACTGTTTGGCCTTCATCTGCTGATCTTAGTTGCACAGTTGCAAACGTCATTTTATTATTACCACAATTGGCACATTTTCTATCAACAATAGGTCCATCATTGTCTTCTTCATTGCCTTTATTTTTCTGTTTGTTTATTGAATGTGTATTGGACTTTCGGGAGTTGAAGTGTACCACATACGAACCTTTCGTACCCCGAAAAACTAAAAAGGATGTTTTTAGATTATTTCAAATTCTCTTGGGGTACAAATTTAATTCACAATCTGCTGAAAAATTACGATTGCAGACGTAACATTTCACTCCTCCTGCTGCTCTTAAACGTGGTAAAATAGATCCACAATCGGGACAAAATCCATCGATTCTTTCAAAATTAGGGCACGTATTCATTTTTTTATTCAATGCTTTAACTTATTTGAATTAACAATTAACCTAAAAATAAAACACCTGTATAGGGAATTTTATTATTTTTTTCTTTTAGTGACACTAACTTCACTCATGTCAACATAACCTATATTTGTCTTAAAGCGGGAAAAAGGTGAAACGTCTAGTACTAGGTTTGTGTTCCATTTCTTGAAATAATTTCGTTGTAAAAATGGCCACAAAACGCAATCTTCCACCCCCAAATTCAGCACGAAAGAGATTCAAGTAAGTTTTCTGGAAAAACGTTAAATATTTTCTATTCACCTATTTCTTTCTAGAAACGATAAACTTTTTCGCCCTCCAGTAGGTGATTTAAATCCTACTACAGATGCACTAATTTTTCAAGAATTGGAGTTGGATCATTATATATCAGTCCCCTATCCTGGCATGCCGGGTGCTCAAACGGGTACAGTACCTGTGGTTCGAATGTTTGGTATCACAAAAGTGGGCAATAGTGTGTGTTGTCATATTCATGGGTTTTCTCCATACTTTTACATTAATCTACCAAACGATTTTTCACAAACAGATTTGTGTCTCTTTAAGGTAAGAATCTTTTCATATTTAATGCAGGATAGGTCGTGGGATGTCTATTTTCTCTGCTAATATCATTGTTATTAAAGCAATAAACAAAAAAAAACTGCACATAGAGGATGTTGGGTTTACTCAGAACTCAAATGCATAAAAATAATACGCAGTTGATACTTTGATGATTTATTTCAGGAAAAATTAAATGAAGCTGTGGTAAGTGATATGCGGTCAAATAGAGACAACATAACGGAAGCAGTTTTAATGGTGGAATTGGTCAGGGGAAAATCCCTAGTTGAATATCAAGGAGAGGAAGATTGCAATTTTGCTAAAATAACACTAGCGTTGCCAAAATTTATAGCTGCATCCAAGCGTCTTTTAAGCACTACAGTCGTCTATCAGCCGCTTGCCCATTACACGTTTCATTTCTTTGAAGCAAATGTGGATATTGAAACGCGTTTCATGGTTGATACAAATATTCTGGGTTGTTGCTGGATTGAGTTACCCGCTGGCAAATGGTTCAGACGACCGGATAATAGTTATTCTATAACTTCACGTTGCCAAATAGAGGTGGATGTCTCATGGACTGACTTTATTTCCCATTCTCCAGAGGGTGAATGGTCACCTGTGGCTCGTTTTCGTATTCACAGTTTCGACATTGAATGTGCTGGAAGAAAAGGCATCTTTCCGGAGCCAAACGTCGATCCTATCATTCAAATTGCAAATGTGATCAAGTTACACGGTGATGAAGATGTAGTTACTCGAAATATTTTTACTTTAAAAAGTTGCGCACCAATAGGACATGCTGAGGTAAGGTTGAATGAGAAAATTGAACAGTAAATGCTACGAAATATAATGTAATATAGTGTTAACAAAAGAGATGCATTCATGTGTTTTAGATGTATTTACTTACACAAAAAAATAATTTATTAAATTTGAGCTTAAGAAATGTACAGTTGGAGACAAAATACTTTGGTCGTCACTTTTCTGACACTTTAATGTAATTCAAGCTTTAATGAATGACAAATTCAAATTAATGACAGCTACTATATCTTTCTATCAAAAATATATACAACTTGTCAACTTTGATTGACAGTAGCTAAAAATAAGGTTGAGAGTCCTAAAGCATGCTTTACAATTTAATGTCACTCAAGTGACATTGACGACCAAAGTATTTTGTCTCCAACTGTAATGTAATCTATTTTTGAGACTGAAATTTTTGAATTCCTTTTTTGTTTGTTTTTGAGTAAATTATTTAAAACTACATATATATACATAGTTGTCATTCTAAAAACAATTTTTATAAAAAAAAATTCTTTATTTATAACAAATTAATGTATTTACCAACAAAATAGTTATTTTTGTTCCAAGTACATAAAATACAGTTTTTGCGGACGAATCGTTGCTGTTTTCGGACGAGGTGAAACCGAGTCCGCAAAAACGTTTTAGGTAAACCTCATAGAAACCAAGAAGGATATCGATAGGCGGAGCCAATGCGTACTGGGTATAATGGGGAAATTTGAGCAGTGGCGTAACACAGAACTATTCTGTGATAAAAAGGGAATTGTAGAGTTGCTTTGTTTTCGTGTATTCATTGATCGAGATATTAAATATAAAAAAATTATACGATGCTCCACGATTATTTCAAATTAACGGTGATATTAATTTTTGTATAAATAAAAGACGAACAGAAAGTAACCAATAGATTCGTTTATTAAAAATATAAACATACAGTGGCGGACACGGAATTTTGGACATCAAATTTATGCCAGTTTAAAAAATGGCAATGTACACGCTTTATTCTCATTATAATTGACGTTTAAAACTAAAATTTGAAAGTTTTAATTGAAATTTATTTTTGATGTCGATTTTCCGAAACAATAATGTCAGCATTACGTGTTTTTAAATAAGTTCAATAAATTGTTCGTGTCTTTATACTTTTGGGCATACCAAGGACTACCATTTCAAATGACAAAGGTAAAAAGTAGCAAGGAGTATCGAGCGTTCTGTCAATTATAACAAAACGTTAAAATTCTGAAACAAGCTTAGCAAAACCTAAAGGATAATTTACACTTTTAATCTGTCAGGGGAATTGGGTGGACAAAATGTCCATCACTATACAATACAATACACGCCACTGCTCTTAGCTGATTTCAGAACTCCCCTATATTTACTAATGGATTCGTCCGCGACCAGTTTTCGTCTCTGCGCAATCGTTCCATCTATATCCTTCTTGGTTTCTCTGACCTCTAGTCGCGGCCATTGAAAAAACTTGACAAATAAAAAAAAAATTGGCGTAAATTTTCCCTTAAAATTAATTGACAATTTAAAATGTCACTAGAATCATGTGAATCAGGGGCGCAGGCAAAACACAAAATTTATTGAACATTAAAAAAAAGACTAGTGAAAAATAAAATGAAAAAACCAAGTTAATATTTTATTGTAACACCGCCAGAATCTACGACCATTTGTAGTCTTCTAGGCATTGATAAGACTGTGTGTCGAACATGTTCTAAAGCTATTTGATCCCATGCTTCAGCAATACTGTTAATTAATTCTTGTCAACTTTTTGGTGGTATCTGGTCATAATTCTACGAGCCATCATTCCCCAAATATTTTCTATTGGATTGAGGTCGCAGCTAAAGTCTGAACCCCATTTTCTCTGAGAAATTGTTGAATAATATGCGCAATATGTATTGGACAATTATCGCGTTGAAACACAAAATTATCTTCAAAAACGTGCGTCACCGATGGCAACATGCATTGGTGTAAACGAGAGCAGTTAGTCTTTGTTCAATAACCACACATATTCCGAGCCCCTGGGCACTTATCCATCCCCAAACGTTCACGGAGAATCCTCCGTAGCGATTAACCCTACGCACATACTTTTCCTGGAAACGTCGCCCAATTGGTCTGTACAGGGTGCTGCATTTTGGATGTCCGAATAGGGAATCTCCGAAACTAAGATGTTTAGCCAAAAACGAGTAATACATTCTGGGGCTCATTCTTTGAGAAAATAATATTGGTTAAAACCGCATCTTGCTATCGTGTTTTGTTTTGGACTTATAGACAAAAGTTGACATTTTAGGGAAATGTAAAAAAATTAATATCTTTGTTATTATAGAAGATACGGATTTGAATAAGACATTATAGATCATATAAATCATATCTTCATTAATATTATAGAAGATACGGATTAAAAAAAAAGGATATTAGTATACAGGCACTTTTTTACAAAGAATTTAATAATGTAGTTAACATTTTTTTTCAGTTATTGGTTTAGCCGTAATAAAATAAACTTGTATTTTTTTAAATGGAAATCATAGGCGGCTATGGCAATTTTGAAAAGCTTATTTTTTTCTGATCTAAAAAATATACATATATTTGTAACAGAATATTTTTTTATAGTTATACTTAGAAAATGAAATACATATTTTGTTTGATAATAGTTGGCCATGGAAAAACTATTTCACTCCAAATGTGTAAATAATAATCAATCAGAGTTTTGTGAACTGTGAAATAGATGAAAAAATAGATAAAATTGTAATAATAATAGATTTCAGTACATTCGACAAAATTGCGGCATTTTTAAATTTTCCTTACTGCGTCCACCACTGATTTGTCAAAGTGACGTTTTCAGTGACACTGACAATAACGACCTTAATAAAAGAAAAAATTACATTATGCAGTTTTTTAAATTTTGAGAGGATGTGTCAAAATCCCGTGTATTAGGTACTTTTCAATGACCGCAACATTTTTTTAAATCTCCCAAAACACGAATTCGCCCCCCTTTTAATTAAAAAAAAATTTGCCACCATATTGCCAACTTTACTTTTTAGTCCGGAAAAACTGTTTTTGGGGACTGAATACACTCACCCAAAAAGAAAATGACGCGTTCATAAACGAACGCTTATCGTGCATAGCCCAGTCAAATTAGACAAAAATAGAGCGATCGGTGGAAAAAAATCCTAGAGAGTTGGAATTTTTTTTAAACGCTTTCTTTATTTTTGGGTAGACATATATCAAAAGTCCCCGAAGATGGAGGGCGAGCTCGAGGAAGGGGAGGGGGCTAAAGGTGTCTTTTTTTGTTTTTTTGCTTATATCTCGGAAACTATTACTCCTAACGGTTTTTGCCTGCTTATCAAAATTTTCTATAAAAATGGTCCTTTGCATTTTTGTTGTAGGATTAACTCTAAGCGAGTTATAGGGCTGACAAAAAACATCATTTAAAAAATGTGCTTTATCCGCATTTAAAACAGAATTAATCTTGTGGTTTGAAAAAACTGAAAGCAAATTGAATTTATTGGGTGCAACACTTCATTAGAGAGTCTATAAAGTCTTCCGAGTCGTCCTCATATGCTGCATCTTCGTCTTCAACTTAAACATTGAAAACCGAATTACAGTCTTGTTCAGTACAATATTAATAAATAGATGAGTTAATATCGATGATTTGAATAAAGCTTACAGTAAACTAAATGTATTGGATCCAACAGTTTATTAGAAGGTGCTATGAGGGTCTGTCAAGTCTTCCGAGTCATCCTTATATGCTGAACTAGCATTTACCTGCGACTTTGTCCTCGTGTATTTCTGATATAAAATGGGAAAAAGCCCATAGACTTAGGTATTCTATAAAGCTAGATAATTACCTATGTTATGTATAGGATTCAGTTATAATAGTCTCGTTCTTCGCATGGGCTATGTTTATGGATAATTATTAAATGTTGATTTTCATAAAGTGTCGCCTCAGTGCACTTCTGCACTCTCAAAATTCGAAATTTTATGTTTCTAATTTTGTTTTTAAGCGTTTAAACTCTATTTTATTTCATTAAAATTAAAAAAGTGCACTTCTACAATATCTAAGGATCATATTTTCTAAATTTAATGTTTTTATATCCCTTTAAATCTGTACACCGTTTTATTCCCTTAAAAACTAATTTTCGAACAATCTGATTTTCGTGCCCCTTTACACCTCTAAATAATGTTATGTTTATATCTTTGTTTAAACATTTACACCCCATTTAACCCCCTTACAGATTGATTCTCTCTTTCATCCAAAATTTTTATTTATATCTCCGTTTAAATGTTTACACCCGAGTCACCTTTCAGGCAGACCAGCTTAGTTGAGGAACGCTCTACACATATAAATACTTACCATATACTAATGAAATGTGTTTCAAAGGATTTTTAATGCAATTTTATGTAGACTCCAAGGTTTTGAAGCCTACGGTTAGTCCTACGACAAAAATAAATAGGACCATTTTTGTAGGAAATTTTGATGCAGAAATAGACTTCTACAGAAAATTCTGCATAAATTACATAAACGATGAGTTTGTATTTATAGACCTTCGTGACTCCCCCTTTCTTTAATGAAGTATTGGACCCAGTACATTCAATTTACTGTCAGTTTTTTTTAAATTACAAGACTAATTCTGTTTTAAATACAGATAAAGCAAATTTTTTTAATGATGTTTGTTTTCTGTCCTATAACTCGCTTAGGGTTAGTCCTACAACAAAAATGTAAAGGACCATTTCTGTAGGAAACTTTCTAAGCTTTAATTTTGATAAGAAGATAAAAACCTATAGGAGTGATAATTTCCGAGATATAAGCAAAAAAACAAAAAAAGGCACCTTTAACCCTCTCCCCCTTCTCGAGCTCGACCCCCACCTTCGGGGACTTTTGATATATGTATACCCAAGTGTAAAAAAAGCGTTTAAAAATAATTCCAACTCTCTAGGATTTGTTTCCACCGATTTGTCTAATTTGACTAGGCTAGCACCCTATCATAAATTATCAGAGGTCGTAAACTAGTTTTAAGTGATGTTCGATATTTCGTTCATCGTTTTTTGAAATGTTTAAGGATTTTTTGTTGGAAATGATTGGTTGGGAGTCTTAGGACACATGTGAAATACCTAATACAATTTTTAAGTTCGTCCCGACGCGACGTTTCTACGTTATGAGAGAAGGTCACAAAAATAAATATTTGTTAGTTTGTTTGGTAATTTAATTTATTACTTCGTTGATGCAAAATAAGTTTTAATGTGCGATTAAAATTTAACGAATAACAAACACGGCAAAACACGGATTTTTATTTCATATTGTTTAAATTATTATTAAATTTAATTTTGCGGGCTGTGATGCGATCGCGAAACGTTCACTTTGCTGTCGGTTGCCTAAAAAGACATCTACACTCTTAATGGTTTTAATTATAAATTGCACAATCGTTTAAAAAAAAAACATTAGAATACCCAGAATAAAAGTTATCAATGAACGTTAGGCAATTCCTTTAATGAAATACCCGGATTAAAATTCCGACCATTACCGCAAATAAAATTCACTGGAAAATAATTAATCTTTAACACCACAGGGGATAACTAAAAACCAAAACTTCATTTAAAATATTTTTCAATTTTTCTTAAAACTGATAAATATTTATTAATTTTCGTAGAAGTGTCTTCTTTAGAAGGTTTTAAATTTTTGACCTAAGGGTATATCCACAACTTGTTATAGTTGTTGACTATGATGAAAAATTTTATTATTACCATAATCTAAATTATTAAAAGGCAACCAAATTGGTCAACGTCCTAACCTAATACTCTAATTAACCAACCATTTCTAATAAAAAAATTCTTAAACGTCACTCGAAACTAGTTTACAGTCTCTGATAATTTATGACAGAGGTTGGTTGTACAGAAATAGTCTAACCGAAAAAAACTCACAAAATTGTTATTATTTAGAATGTTATTTAACTTTAAAATATTGGTACCTACAAGGTTTGAGAGTCATTGGAATTGTTTCTTTGTTAAAATAAAATTGTATTCTAGTGCTTCATCAGTTAGTTTCTTCAGAAAGTCAATAATTTAAGCAGAAAACACTTGTCTTAATATTTTGTGTTCACACTGTGTAGATACAGAGTGTTCTATTAACTATTACGCTTTTATTTAAAAATAACAAAAATTCAATGCAATGTGAAGAACCTTGTTTAGCGAATATTTCAAAAATAGTCAGATACATATACAGAGTGTTTTGTTTTGAATCAAATTTGTCAGACTAGTTCTAATACTTACATTTTTAAAAATGTTTTTAAATTAAAAAGATATTACAGCTTAGGTATAAAAATGCACTATTTATCAATTCTAGATAGTTAACACTAGCGGAAACAGTCCAGGGGAAAAAACCGCATTGTCATTTTAAGCAAAATGTTCAGAAATCAATTAACAAATATTGACGTTTCTTGTTCCACGGTGCGGCAAATCATTTTTTCAGATTTACCGTACTTTTTTCCAAGATGATAAATTTTTCAAATGACAACAAGCTGGTAGAATATCTCATTTATTCTTGAGAGACATTGCGCTCTGTACCCTTTACATAGTCTCTGATCATTATTTTGGTAGGCGTATCTTATTTAATAGTTAACTTAGACACTGTTAACGTTCGTTTAACTTTTTTTTTTCGAATTTCTAGGTTCGTAGTTTTGATAGTGAGGAACAAATGTTGGAAGAATGGGCCGAATTTGTAAGAGAAACAGATCCAGACATATTTACCGGCTACAATATAAATAATTTTGACTTCCCGTACCTTATCGAACGTGCAAATCACTTAAAATTAAAACGTTTCGATTATTTGGGACGCATTCTCGACATTAGGTATTATAATTGTTTTTCGCTTTACAAATTCCAACAAGATTATTTTTAGGTCTTCTATAAAAGAAACAGTTACTCAAACAAAAATCGGTAAAAGAACTTTCAAGACGATTAATTTTGAAGGACGTGTACCATATGATATGTTTATGGTTATCAAACGAGATTTTAAGCTTCGATCATATACCTTAAACAGCGTCTGTCAAGAAATATTAGGAGAGCAAAAAGAAGATGTGCATTATAGCGTCATTACGGATTTACAGAACGGCGACGAACAAACCAGAAGAAGGTTAATTAACATTCAACTCGAGTAATACAGTCACAAAAGAATATTTCAGACTTGCAGTTTATTGCTTAAAAGATGCAGATTTACCGGTTAGATTACTCAGTACCGTTAGAAGTTTTACCAATGATGTTGAAATGGCTAGGGTTACCGGTGTGCCTATAACTAGCCTCTTAACAAAAGGCGAACAAGTTAAAGTGGTGGCCCAATTACTGAAACATGTTTGTAACTTTTTCAGTTTCTTTTTTAAATAGCCTCCATTGGCAATTGTTTAAAAAAATTACATTTGTTAATTATAGCGATAATCTGATAAGTTTATTTATTTATTAGGCTCGAGCTGCTGGATATTTCATGCCAACTCACCAGGGAGCACCCTCTTCGGAACAATACGAAGGAGCTACAGTTATCGAGCCTAGACGAGGTTACTACACCGATCCCATAGCCACTCTTGATTTCAGTTCTCTATATCCTAGTATTATGATAGCACATAACTTGTGTTACACGACTTTGATTAAGCCAAGTGTTAAAGAAAAGCTCGGGTTAGTCATTAATATCGTTAAGTATATTTTTAATCTATCTAAATATTTTAGTTTAAATGACGAGCAAGTTACATCCACTCCAGCTAATTGTATGTTCGTAAAATCATCGGTTAGACCTGGTTTGTTACCACACATCTTGCAACATCTTCTTGCGGCACGTAAAAAAACTAAGGCTGAATTGAAAGAAGCAACTGATCCGGTTGTAAGAGCTGTTTTGGACGGTCGACAATTGGCTTATAAAATTTCAGCTAATTCGGTTTATGGTTTCACGGGAGCTCAAGTTGGGAAACTGCCTTGTTTGGAGATTTCAAGTGTAAACTTTTTTGACGTTTTGCTATATTTTTGTTTCTATATTATTTTAGAGCGTTACAGCTTATGGACGGACGATGATTGAACAAACCAAACAAGAAGTAGAACAGCATTATCGCACAGTGAATAATTACGAATCCGATGCTGTGGTTATTTATGGTGATACTGACTCGGTTATGGTTAATTTCAAAGTAAAATCATTAGAAAGAAGTATGGAATTGGGAAGGGAAGCAGCTGAATTGATAAGCGCCAAGTTTATAAAACCCATCAAGCTTGAATTTGAAAAGGTATTAATTTTTTATTGTAAAATTTGGAAAATGATATAGCGATCTTTCAACTTTCACTTTATGGAGGATTTACCAAACAGTGCATAAAAATGTTAATCTGTCGGCAGTGTTCAGGTTTTTGTACTTAAAGTTTTAAGATTTGTATTTGTTCAACAAGAAAAAAAATCATACAAAGAAGTAGCTTTTAGGGGTAATAAATGCGTTTCATTAAAAAAAAAAAACGTGCTCAGCGAGGACAAAGTTGTTGAATTACCTCCCCTATCATTGCAATTTAATCCAATTGAAATGATTTGAGCTCAGTGAAGGTGAAATTAGAAAAACAAAAAACAGTATATTAAATCTGGTAAGAAACATCTTCGCACAATTTCCTGTTATGGATTTAGTACGGTGCTAATTAACTCCACCCTTATGACTCAAAAGCTAAGTAGCTTCTTAAGACCATAAGATCGCTATATTTTTAGCAAATTATAAAAAAAAATTGGTTTGAATCAAAACGTTCAAACGTTCAAAAAATTAATTTCTTTATTATCTTCTCATTTATGTTTTATTTTAAGGTTTACTATCCCTACTTATTGATCAATAAAAAGCGTTATGCTGGATTGTATTTTACGAAACCGGATAAATACGATAAAATGGATTGTAAGGGCATTGAGACTGTGCGAAGGGATAATTGTACATTGGTGGTTGATGTAATAAATTCATGTCTTCGAAAACTCCTTATTGATAAGTAAGTTTAGCACCGCTTATTCATATATTTTAAATATTTTTAACAGAGATCCAGACGGTGCTGTTAATTACGCTAAAAAAGTTATCTCGGATTTGTTACAAAATAATGTGGATATTTCTAAATTGGTGATCACAAAAGAACTTACGAAAAATGATTATGCTGCCAAACAGGCGCATGTTGAATTGTCGAAAAAAATGACAAAAAGAGACCCTGGAAATGCTCCTAAATTAGGAGATCGAATACCCTACGTTATAATTGCAGGAACGAAAAATTCTAAAGCATTTGAAAAAGCAGAGGTAATTTTTAGATCAAAATAATGTTTTGGGTAATTGAAGTTGATTTGCTTTCAGGATCCTATATATGTTCTAGAGAACAATATTCCGATTGACTCTCAGTATTATTTGCAAAATCAGTTGTCTAAACCTCTGATTAGGATTTTCCAACCCATTTTGGGAGACAGTGCCGAGTCAATCTTACTACGTATGGCCGTTATATATTTATTCAATTGAAAATATTTTTTGTATTGTTTTTAGGAGGTGAACATACGCGAACAAAAACTATGGTAACTTCTAGAGTCGGTGCTTTATCAGCGTTTACTAAAAAAAAAGAGACGTGTCTGGGATGTCGTTCAGTCTTACCAGCTGGTTATGAAGCAGAAGCGGTCTGTAGTCACTGTAAACCAAAAGAAGCTACGCTGTATCAACAAGAATTGGGACATCATAGGATGTTAGAAAATCGATTTTCTGAACTTTTTACGGAGTGTCAAAGATGTCAAGGATCTTTGCATGAAGAGATTTTATGCACAAGTCGAGATTGTCCAATTTTTTATATACGAAAAAAAGTTCAAATGGAATTGGATGCAAGTAAAATTAAAATTTCTAGATTTGGCGATCCTGTTATGGAAGAATGGTGATTTATTTTTACGTGCTTTTTTTTGTATTATCTATAATGTTTGTCACTACTTACGTTAAACTGCTTTTACCATAAAAACAATTTCAAATATTTTATTTTTTATTGTTTTGACCACATTCATCATTTGTTGTCACTAAATAATAGAATACAATTGTTCAACAAACTGTATCAGTAAGAGATCAATCAATCGATTTTTGCAATGTTTGTGCCTTGTCTTATAGTACCGTGCGATCAAATAAAAAATAAATTAAGGGTAGGCGTCGATTAAATTCAACCATTGGCAACACATTGGCTCTGAATCTGGACTGGAAAATTTTCACACAAAATGAAAGTGAAAATAACCATCCACCGTTTTCCTCTTGTACCGCAATAAAAATTTTCTGCTCTAAAGTGAACATTATTTCACTCAAAAGGAATAAAACGCAAACTTGTCAAAGTTTCCGCTGACAATTTATTTTTTTTATGATCGCACGGAATTTATTTTGTGCGCAGAATTTAAAATAAAAACCGTTTTTGCGTATTATCTCCAGTTTTGCACACTACATTTTAGCTTTCATATTTTTTTGCATTTATGTACAAAATTGATAATTGATAAGTTTTTTTGATAAATCATATGCTTATTCAATTACAAGTCCGGATTGAAGAGTTTTCCGGATTAGCCAAGTTTTTTTTTAGGCTAATTTATTACGAAAAATCTAATAACAAATTTAATCAGAAAATAACATGATGTAGGTGCATATACAGGGACATTTTCTTTATTAGTATACATAGCCCTATGTATACTTTAAAAGTAAAACGGGTCAACTTCAATGTTACTATGGCAATTACGATTAACCGTTAGTCTAGCCATAGACAACCAATATTACAAAGGCTTTAATATCGATAAATAAAAGATGACCTTTTAAAACAACAATTAAATATTAATTAAAAAAATTAAAACCCATCTAAACATGAAAAATTTAATAATTAAAGCAAGTGTCCAAAATGCTTTCCTTGCAGTTCCGAACAATAACCCAAGCGATTTTGAAAACCCCGCCACTGCATTCCTGATAAATTCAGGATCTATATTATTACATTCTGTACGAATACGTTTTTTCAGCTCTTTTAAATTTTGCATTGGAACATTAGTATAAATATTTATTTTTAAATACCCACAAAGAAAAAAATCGTTAGGTGTCAAGTCTGGTGATTGTGGGGGCTATGCGATGGGACTATCTCCATCAATTTTTTTTGGGTAGCTGCATTTAAATTTCAGAAAACTGTCCGAGAGAATTCTTGGAGAATTAAACATAAGACGATATCCTGTAACAAGAGATTCTCCGAATAACAAAATAAAAGAAGTAGTAAATGCCTAGAAAACGAATGCTGCAAATTTTGTTCGAACTGTAGAGGTAAAAAAATCTAAAGTGTCCGAAACATGAGAGCATTGACATTGGAATGTCCGAACTAGAGTGTGTCCGAATTGTCGAAGTTGTACTGTAATTACAAATGACTTACAAATGAACGAAATACAAATTCAAAGACTTATTTATTCATGTAATAAAAATTTCGCATTTTAAGTAATGTATCATTATTGTTGTTTCTTTGAAAGTTTCGTCTCTGTAAAAATATTATATTTCAGGCCACACTATATCTTCGATCCATTTAATATAATGTGACACTCTCACATACACTCCTGGACTCCCAGCACAACCCTTTCCAAACGATGTTATTCCAATTATATCGTACATACATACTATTTCGTCACCAAAATGATATATTTGAAGTGGTCCTCCAGAATCACCCTGAATTTTTTTATAAACTACGGCTTAATTCCTAAGTTGATTTTGCATTTACCTGACATGTGTCTTTCTCTTCTCCGTCCTTTGAACCTGCACAAACTTGTAGGTCATCGACTATTCCATTCTTCAGTCTTCTTGAAATTTGGTTTTTATAGGAAGCATTACAAGTGTTGTGATCAAAGAGATCCAACGTTACTTTAAGTAGCTTATTGCTTCCTTCACCAGCCCAAGTGGTGTGACCCCATCCAGTTGCTATAGCTCTTTCAGTAGGAATTTCATTTCTTGAAAAAAGACAAGCCGGTCTGGCATATGGATTCATTTTAGCTTCAGTTTCCAATTTCAAAAGGCCTATGTCGTGATAATGTGAACTTGACTTATATTCTGGGTGAGGAATACGTTCTTCTATTTTCAATTCTTGCCTGCGGTTTTTATCATTGTAATCACTTGCTCCTATTCTTACGTATTTGGCCTCCCCACTAAAATGTTATTTTATTAATTTATTGTAGAAAAAGTGAAAAGTAGACCTATGACTGTACATACATATTTCAGTAATGGCGAATCTATCGCAACAAAAAAATTTGTTTTTAACTTGTTTGAAAGTGGATACATTTGGTCTGACAATACTCGTATTTTTTATTCTATCCATATTTGATTTTTTATTATCTTTTAATGAGAGTTATAAAAAAGTGATCAAAGTGTTTGGGGAGAAAAATAGTTGCTTACGGTGAAATGAACATAAGCGCATTTTTGCACCTATGAGAAGAAAGGTGTTAACGATTGGATACAACCTGAGGTCAAAATAGATACTTTCCGAGGATGTAATAAAAATTTTATTGTCTACAAACTAGACGAGATAGAATACTATACTTACTGTTCATGGTGGCTTAAACAATGTGCAGCTGTAAGAATATATTGTTTACTTATAATAGTCCCTCCACAAAGCCATTTTTTTTCATCTCTAGTTGGTTCAAATCCAATTACTGCCTATAACAATACTAAATTTATTGAGAATTGGTGGAAACAAAATTTCACCATATGTGGGAATTCTTTTCTGCCTGCTAATTCTCCACCAACGATAAGCTTAACAACTTCGTGTCCACATTCATTTCTTTTAAGATCGGAAGTACCAATTAACAAAACTGGCGATTTGGTCACTTCATATATGTATGCAGAATATTCCCTACATTCTGGTTCAGAAATAATATATTATATGAATAAATACTAGTTGCAGAATATAATATACAGGGTGCGCCAGAACTCGCGCCCCAGAGAAAAATGCGATATAAGGTAAGATACCAGGAACATGGAAAAAATGTTAAAAAAAAATTATCTATAAAAATTTCGAAGTTATGAGGGTTTAAAGTTTACACTTTGACTCTATTTATTTCTGCTGGAAAAATAATTTTCCAAGGTTTTTTGCTATAGGCTATTAAAAGAGGAAACAAGGAAGCTGTATCCTAAATTGTAACTCTGTTCTATGTTATTTGTGGCTTTTATTGGCAAAATTTTTGTCCCTTTACTAAATAATTGTAAAAAAACATTTACAAGATCATCAGTATCCTTAAATAGATATAAAAAAATGTCAAATCTCAAAAAATAAATGTCAAAATTTTTTGACAGATAGAATTTTCTAAACATTTTTTTAATGTTTCTGGTATCTTACCTTACTTGAAAATTTTCTCTGGGGCGCGAGTTCTGGCGCACCCTGTATATAATATAAATACTAGTTGCAGAAGGTACCTTATTCATTCAAGCCATTGTTTGAAATTCGCGTAGCGGTGAGTTGAGAAACAAACGATTGATTGAATGGCCTTCTGTAACGAGTGTTTTACAATTTTTTCTATTTTGCGCCTTTTATGCTGTTTTTAAAGAAAAAAGTGATTTTTTTTATGTTCGCCACCGAAAATTTGGGTCACCAACATAATGTTTTTTTTTTTATAAAAATACAATACAAAATACACTACGCCTATTAGTAGTGTGGGAAGCTGTTAACGCACTCAAACGAGTTCGTTACTAGACAAAAAATAGAGAAATAGTATATTAAAGAACACGTTTCGTAAGGCAAGTTTTGTGAAATGAGATCAGGTTTATGAAACGTGCAGGGAAGCGCGAGTTTTATAAAGAATTAGTTTCCACTAATGACTCATGAAACAAGTTTTTTAAGCCATTTTTTCTATTTTGCGCGTTTTACATTTTCAAAAAAAAATAAAAGTCACTTTTTCATAATTTAGCCCTAATAAGGTGGTGGTTGGTAATAAATGTCACAAAGTTTGAAAAAATCGATTTTCGAAGTGTCAAGTCTAGAATATTTATCAAAATTTTGTTGAATTAACAATCGATAATGCAAATATTTCATGTACACCACCTGAATTAAGCGAAATGGCTCAAAACGTCGCTAAAAATCACCTTTATCAACCTCTACAAACTAGAAAGTAAATTGTACTAGTCTATTTCAGCACCCAAATTGGTGTTGAAATGGCTCATTAAAACATCGGTTTTAGTATCGAAATTAGCTTTTTTTCAGACGCAAAATAGAAAAAATGTTTTAAGTTTACATTAAGTTTCCAGAACTTGTTTATGAGCCGTTTGTTGGGAGTTCTAAATGAAATTGATTGATAAAAATATACTACTATACAGGGACAACTCTGAACACAGCCCTATGTTTAGTTTAGAAAAACACAAATCAATCCATTGCTGTCAATTAATCTCAGTATCGTGTCTACAATTTAATAAAAGCAACAAAATAAAAAAATGCTTTATTTAAATGAAGATGATGAGAAATAAATATATAGCAAAAGTTTCACTGAAAACATTAATTAAAAAAAATACAAACATAAATTTTTGTTTGGCCTCATGTTTTTGACTTTTTTTTGGGGCGAAACATGAAATTAAGTTTTTATTTTGTTTTAATTATTGTTTTCGGAAAAATGTTTGGTAGATATAACATTATTTTTTACTGTGAAGTACTTAATATCCTATTTGAATGTAATTTCTCTGTTGTTGTGAGGCAATCATTGAATGACAGCAATAGATTGATTTGTGTTTTTTCAAACTGAACATTGGGCTATGTTCAGAGTTCAGAGTTTAAAAAATGTCCCTGTATATGTAATTAGATTAATATTAAATTTCTTACTTCTTACTTACTTCGTTTACTTATTTCACCTGGCTGTCTTTTTGATTTTTGTTGTTCCTTCTGATTTTGTGATGGACAACATACTATGGCTTGTGTTCCTTCAAAACCACATGTTTGAGGGAAAACATGTTTTTTAATATCTTCACGAGCTTGTTGACAATCAATAAATAATTTGCAGACACCAGGTGCACCGGATGATGTCAAAGTACAAACATCACCTAAAACGATGTTATTAGAGTAGGTACCATTATTTTTCGAAATAATGTTCCTTCCAAAATTACGTACCTACATATTACTCAAGAAGAAAACACCATTATTCATTAATTTAAAAAGTACTCTCACAGAGAATTGTTAAAATTTTCTAATAAGGATGAGTATAGTTTCTAAATTTGTATAATACTTTTTTCCCGCTGCTGGAATTTTTTATATTATTTTCTGAATGAAATGGTATAATCCCTAAATGTTTTATTACTTCAGTTATAATATAGGTTTTTATTTTAAAAACAAGTTGGGCTATTTTGTCTTTTTGTATTAGAGTTTTGAGGCTTCATTTTGCGGTTTTCTTCATCGATTAACAATAAGGGATATTTTTATCCATTTAAAGCAGCTCCATTCCTCGAATAAACTTTCGATAAGCTTTTGGTATAATTGTTTTATTTATTAGGTAGTACTATACTATTGTTATAACCAGAGTAAGGCAAATTGAGACACGAGTTCACTGTGCAACCGCTGCGATTAGCCATAAGCGTCGATTGTGGCCGTCGCAACGCGTCGCGTTTTCGGGTATGTACAACTTAGCTTATTATTCGCAAATTCGTACTCACTAATTAATGAAATATAAACCAAATGATTTCACATGTATTTATGTAAAAAAATAAATATGCAACATTAGTAACTATAATAATTATTTATATCAAAATCTAGCACATCTCTGCCTTAGGCCGAACGCACTGCCTGGTTGCCTATTCCTGCGACATCAATTTGCCGAAGTCTGGTTATAACAATGTAACGAAACATTTTTAGCAAAGAATTATCTTTGATTTTTGTTTGCAGTTGGTCATAAAAAAAATGGATCTTCAACTAAAGGAAATAAAATACATACATACATTATCACGAGTGATAATGAGCCTAACCACATTTGAACTGCAGCCAGTAATACATTTGCATAGGCTTCATGGATTTTGATTATGAATTTTAAAAGTAATAAAACATAGTTATCGCGTAACTATGAAATTGACAAGAAAGGAAACACAGTTTTTAAGGTTATTGTCTATCTACCATTGGAAAACACTTTCAAGCCTTTTTGGAGCTTTTCTATACAGGAAACATTGTCTTTACAAAGGTTCATCGGCAGAAGCATTTTTTCCAAATTCGCCATAAATGAGAATCAGATCTGTTTTCTCATCGTTCGAATGCATTTTGAAATTTTGCTAATGTCAGTTGTGACATGGTTGTGACAAATAAAATTATCGAAGCAAAGCTATCGTGGATTCATAATTCGGTTTTTCAAACAATGCGATATCTAAAATATCCACGTTAACTTTGCAAATGTATTGTGGGTTGTATTTTCAATTCCGTCAGGCTCATTATCACTCGTGAAATACCCTGTATGTTTCTGGGCCTAGACGGTTAAAGAGAATAAAATTTGCAAAAAAATACCCATTTGTAGTGAATTTAATTCTCTAGAGTTTATTTATTTACATTTTCTTTGTAATCTCTACGGGACATACAGTCCAATGAAAAAAGGTGTCCGAACCTACTCCCCCTACAGTCACTAATAAAAATTTTAATAACCATTAAAATTATCTTGCTTATAAAACTGTTGTAACAACTTAAATCTGCTTTTCAAAGCATTAGAATTTTAACATTTTTTGCAATTTTTTCCTAATACTATAAAATTAACCTTATTTCAACTTTACCTACAAATTGTTGGTTGTATGCAACGTTCAGAATTGTAACAATAACAAAAATCCGTAGATAATTGGCACGTAACATCTTCTCCGGTGATGGAGGCTTATCACTTTGCGCAACTAGCAGAACTTGACCAGTGACCAGATCAAGTCAAGATTCAAAGAAAGATTTGGTGGGGGAACAGATTATTCATATTTTTTTATATTTTTTTACATTTTTATAACTTTGAGTCATACATACACAGATAAATTGATGACTTTTAAGATGTATGCAGAAAAGTTTCACGGCAAAGAATGATAGTTTTTCGTAATAACAACTTTCCATGAACTTGATATCATGTCCTTCAACAACTTGTTCCCGGAATTAAATCCAGGAAAATAATAAATAACTTTATAAATAATACCTCAATTCAAGTATTAATAAAGTTGATATTTTAAAAATGTTGCACTTCTAACTAATTATTTGTAAAATAAGGTTATAGGTATTATTATCGATTTTTAATAAGAGTTGATTTCATATAGTGCATACAAGGTTAGCGGTTTTCCCAAGATATTAACAAATGTGGATTGTTTGAAGGATTTTACTTTGTCTAAGTGTAAAAAACTGAAATAATATTTATTTAATTATTACCTATATTTAAGGCCGATTTGTAGAACACAAATTTTTATTCGCATTCAATTTAACGTTTGGCAATATAGTACTAATGTAAAGTAAATGATTTCTTAACAATTGTAGGAGCTGTGAAGAAGACACTCTTTGGAAGAGATGTTTTTTACAACATTTGAATTTAGTTAATTTGACATACAATTTGATATACAGGCTGAATTATGAAAAACGCCCCAAGCCATAACTTCATTATTTTTAAAGTTACAATACTTCTTACAACAAAGTTGAACATTTTTTGTCAACTATCGTTTGGGATAGATGCTAAATTAATGCTGTTTTCTGTTTCACCGGAAATGACATCAACTTTATTTTTTTAAGTGGAATACCGTGTATTCCTTTGGATTTTTTGTTTAATTGCCTTTTAAAAGGTTTTAGTACCATATGCCTAAAACTAACCGTTTGTAAGAAATGCGTCAATTAAAAATTTATTAAAGTAGGCAGTGGAAAACAATAATATCAAGTAATGTTGACAAATATTATTCCTTTGCATTTTCTCTTACTGTTTTTTAGTTTTTGGTGTTAATCATGGATGATAATGTGTTAACACGTTAACAAACATGATTCAAGAATATTTTGAATGAAATAAAAATTGTGGGAGAGCACTACGTCTTTACACTGGGCAATATCCGATGTGAAAAGTTCTAATTCCTCTACTTGAGGATGTTTAGGCTTAACTTAAGGTTAATTAGTTAATTAATTAATTTTTGATTCATTTATTTTTTATTTTAAGCGTTAGTTCAATAAAAAATCACTTTTCTCATGTGATGCGATAATCTTGCCGATCAGTGCAGATAGTTACACGTGGTTACACTTTCGTAGGGGGGAGAATGAAAATTATTTAACTACTATTTTAGTCGTGGTAACTTAATTACAGTTAACTACAGTTTTATTATTTAACTAAGTACATTATCTAATTACGTTTAGTCCAGATATACAGGTGTGTAAGAACTCGCGCCCCAGAGAAAAATTTCAAGTAAGATAAGTTACCAGGAACATGGAAAAAATGTTTTTTGTTTATTTGAAATTTTGGCGCATCGACTGCATCGGTCATTGGGGTATAATACAGTGGTTTTTAAATTTAATTTTACAATTTATCTAATAATCTAACACTCTTAAGATAGTTAATTATGTCTTGCGTTTGTATACGATGGGGGTGTTAGTCCAGCATCTATGCGGTGTTGCGCAGTTTTTGGGCACTGGAAGAAGTGGGTGACGTCTAATTTTTTTTGGCAACACTGTGGAGTTCTTTTTTTCCATTAGGTACATGTGGGTTAGTCGAGTGTGTCCACTTAGGAGTTGGTTAAATGTGACCTCTTCTCTGCGGTTTAAAAAATTTTATCTGTCAAAATATTATTTGACATTTTTTTTATGTCTATTTAATGATATTGATGATCTTGTAAAGTCTGTTTTTTATTTAAATGGAAATTACCAAGTCAAAATTTTGGTGAAAAAATTGGTAGCAGCTTGTCTCCATAGCCACAAATTTTGTTTGCTCTTTGTTTTTGTCCCCAGAAATTTTGTTAAAAAAATATGGTTATGTTTTCAAATTGAGATGTTGTCAAAATTTTGACTTTTATGAATCTTGTGTGTCTGTTTGCTCTTTGAAAGCGCTATAATTGAATACCTGATGACAGACATCATTACCTAAGGTCTAAAGACAGAATTCAGTCCTAATAATTTTGATAGAAACACACCGCACGCAAGTACAATGTTGTGGACAAAAATGAGGTTCTCGCTACAAAAACTTTGAAGAAAAAGGATGTATATACGAAAAAAAAGTTATTTAGCAAAAGATACAAGTAGGTATTATGATGATTGGCAATAATTTTTGTGTAATAATTAGGTTCAAAATTGTTACTTTTACAACTCGTTCCTCAAAAACGATGCACAAGACACTAATTTAATTGCATTCTTTCCGAGCTTCTTTCCCATTCATGTTTATTTTGTGTTCTTGTCAATTTCTTGCTAAAAATTGAGAATGTTTAGCAAACCTGCATTACAAATTGCGTCTACATTTTAACGGGCCCTTTTTACATATATGTTTTTTTTTATAATTATTTAGTCAAAGTACAAAAATTTTGCCAATAAAAGACAGAAATAACATTAAACAGAGTAACAATTTAGGATACAGCTTCCTTGTTTCCTATTCTATTATAATAGCCTGTAGCAAAAAAATATTTTTCCAACAGAAATAAATAGAGTCAAAGTGCAAAATTTAAACTCTCATAACTTTGAAATCTTTATAAATAATTTTTTTTAACATTTTTCTTGTTGTCTAGGGCATCGCCCGAGGATACAGTGTCACGGAGGTGCGCGACTTTCGTCGCCACTGTCAGTTGTCACATTCGTGTATGGGATATCCACAACAAAAAATCGTATTGTAACTTTTATTTCTTCAGGGAACAATCGGAACACAATTTTACACTTTGCCAAAATTATAATGATTAAAAATTATGTTCAATGAGTTTTAAAAGTTTTATAATTTCATGGAACACCTTTTCTTTCCTATGTTTCCCATAATGAAAGTCTACATGATTTATGTTTTTTATTTCCAGTTTGCCATAGACTTTTGCTTTTTCGTTTAATTTATCATATAACAATTCGGAGTCCTGAAACAAAAAGAATTAGTACAGTAATTTTATTTATCATTAGAAAACTAAAGAAACCTCTGATGTGGCAATAGAATCATGTTTACTGTAAATTAAATAAGTAGGAGTAATTATTTTCTCAATTGGATATTCAGGTGGGATTAAACTACCATATATTTTTTTATTAATATTAGGTCCATAATCGTACATTTGAAAGCGTCCTCCAGACAGGTATTGTTGCACATAGTGGTAGAAAATTTTCCAAGAGTAACTTCTTGGATGATGAGAGATTGAAAGATTTATAAATGCCTAGAAGAAATATGAAATGTATGCCTAGAAAATTTAGATCTGGAATTACCGGGTCAAATTCCTGAGGAGTCCATCCTTGAAAAAGAGAGATCATCACAGTTGCAAGATATTTAAAGGGAAGTTCTAACATTAACAGCCTTAGAGTTTGCATCAGTGGTGAATCGTATTCGTAAAGATGTGTAATATGCAATAGTGTATTAATCATCTTAAAAATTACGAAACAGTTTATAATTCGTGTCTTCGTTTTAATACCTTCAAGTATGGAGTAAAGTATGCAAGGTACTTCACAGGAGATCTCACATGTTTTAAATAACATACTGGACTCATACTTATAAAAACTTTAACAGAGTCTTTAGCTTCTTTAGGTCTCAACGAAGAGTAAATGAGTGATGCAGTCGTTGACATTGAATGAGATATAAAAACAATTTTACTACCGGTTTTCATTTTAACAAAATCTATTATCGTTTTATAGTCAAAGAGGCCAATTTCATGAAAGCTAGAATCAATGGAGTTGCTGTTTGGACAATAATAATTAATAAGTGTTTTGTTTCTACCTAAAATCCCAAAATTTTGCATCTGAAGTGGTTAAATTTACGTGCTTTCGTGAGAAGTAAGTTCCACGATGGTTGGGTAGCCAAATATCATAGCCAAAACTCCACAGCAAAAATGCTATTAAAAATGTAGGTAAAAAAACATAGAGGGCTATAAGAAACATACCTAGTGATTCATTACTTTGACCAACCCATACAATTGAATCCGTGGTAACGGGATGTTGAAGAATTGCTACACCTTTTGGACGCTGTCTTGGAATACGAAATAATGTTAAAATGTAACCATCCTCAGTAGTTACGTTATATGTTTCACTAAAACCGATATGTTTTTCGATTATTTTAGCCTAGAATGTAGACATAGAGGTAATTTAACTTGACGTTGTAGGTTTTTTAAACTCACAGTTTGTTCAAAAAATTCAGAATTGTAATAACAGTTTTTGCTAGTGTTGATAAAATAATAGTCGATATAATTTTTACAGGAATTGTTAGGAAGATACTTTGATACTGTTTCTTGAATAAAAAAACTCACTACACTTAGTATAAGGTTTAGTAACATTATAAACTACTTTGAGGAAACGCATCAGGAACTATGACCACTACAGTCAGGCATTATTTAATATTGTGATTTAAATTGTTCACTTCAATTAGCAATGAGTGAATGTTAATAAGAGAAAGATTTTTTGTTTTATTTTTAACCTTGAATAAAATTATAAATAAATGAGTTATACTCTTATATGTACAGGGTGTCTCAAGTTTTAGGGCCAACGAAAAAATAAATATTTCTAATTAATTAAAAAAGAATTTTGATAGTGTAAACGATAGAGGATTAAATACATTTCAATTTGATGTTTTGATATTGTACAAAATTTTTAGCATATACAGGGTTATTCATAATTATGAAGCAATATTTGAACCTCAAAAATGACCTATAAAATGATGTTAATTTAAATAATAACTCGTGTCCTATCTCTACTGATAAGAATTTTACAGCCCTCGGAATGTGGGTATGGAAATTTGTTTTTTTTTTTTGTAATACTTCGAAACCATTTGACCAAATATTATAAAATTTGGAATGGTTACTTGCGAGAACATACCTTTTAAACTAGTAATTAGGAAAACCGGAAACATCTACTCAATTTCAGGTTCCAGCAATTGTAGATCACATTTTCTGTGTTTTTCCATTTTTTTGCTCTCTTAACACCAATTTTTTATTGCCCAAATCGATAGAGTAATCAATTTTGATTAAAAAACGCATACCCCTAAAATGTACCGTTTCAAAGATATTTCAATTTAAACTGAGGACTGCACAACGCTGAAACCAAAAAGTAGGGATTTTGAATGGATGATATCCACGGTAACAAATGACCATGGTCTCACTAATCGCTGTCAGGCATCTGTCAACTTTGACATTGGACGATTATTAGACAATTAATCGAAAATATTTAATAAAAGAGTTTACTTCAGATTCCAAACATAACTTAGAATAAATCCAAATGGATCTCGTGGCATTTAATTCATAAAAAATTCGCAAAAATTTATTGTCAAAGTTATCAGATGTCTGGCAGGGATTTATGTGACCATGGTCATTGGTTGCCGTGGATACCATTTATTCAAAATCCCTATTTTTTGATTTCAGCGTTGTGCAGTCCTCAGTTTAAATTGAAATATCTTTGAAACGGTCCATTTTAAGAGTATTAAAGGTTATGAGTTTTTTAATCAAAATTGATTACTCTATCGATTTGGGCAATAAAAAATTGGTGTTAAGAGAGCAAAAAAATGGAAAAACACAGAAAATGTGACCTGCAACAGTTGGAACCGGAAATTGAGTGGATGTATCCGGTTTTCGTGATTACCAGTTCAAAGGGTATGTTGTCACAGGGAAATGTTGTAATATTTGGTCAAATAGTTCCAAAGTTATTACAAAAAAATCAAATTTCCATACCCACATTCCGAGGGCTGTAAAATTCTTATCAGTAGAGATAGGAGACGAGTTATTATTTAAATTAACATCATTTTATAGGTCATTTTTGAGGTTCAAATATTGCTTCATATTTATGAATAACCCTGTATAGCAGTGAGATCTTAAAAATCAAATTTGGAGAAAAAGAATTTCCATTAACTGGAATATTTACTACATCATAAAATTTTTTGATTTTTTCTGTCGTATTTATGAAATTTAGATTTAGAATAATAACAAAGTTGATAGGTTTTGGAATAATTAACATTTTTATATTGAAAATCTGAAACTTAGAATAATTTATGGGAGGTTTGCGGTAATTGGTGAGAAGTTCTTGACAAAAGAAAAATGACATTTATGACTTACCTGGGCTCTATTGTGAAGCCTCCGCTCTATTGTCAATGCATTAGCAGCACATCATCTCAAACATGACCATAAATTACCAGGATTTCCGATTTTTAAAATTGAAATGTTAATTATTCAAAATCTATCAACTTTTACATTATTTAATTTTCACAATTACCACCAGAAAAAATCGAGCAATTTTATCACGTAGAAAAGATTCCAATTAATTAATTAATTTTTTTTCTAAATTTAGCTTTAAGGCTCTCACTGACATATCCACGCTAAAATTTTAGAACAATATCAAAGCATCAAATTATAATCCTTTACCGTTTGCGCTAGCAAATTTTTTTTTAAACAATTGAAAATATTTATTTTTACGCCGACCCTAAAACTTGAGACACCCCGTATAGTAATATCACAACCGAGCTAGGATATATGCCATCATCTCGAGGGCTCATTGTACCATGAGATCAAAAATTACCTTGGTAAAGGGTGGTCATGGATTTTAAAATAATTATCGTAGGTTATGTCATCGACGATGTCAGTGACACAAACATTGACAAAATTATTTCAAAAGAATATAAGCAACGACAGACGTTTTCCATTCCATGATCACTCTTGACCAAGATAATTTTTATCTCACACGGTATGGCCGAGAGGCACAGTTTCAAGTTTAGACAGAGCGCGAGGGTGTAATGAATTCCTACAAACAATTATATGTTATTTTGTTTACAATCACATTTAGTTTAAATAATGAATCATCGATTTTTTTGTTATAGTTGATGAATGCATTGACGTAGTTGATATGCAACCAAATTGCGTTTTTGACATTTAATATGTAGGGCCATTTTTGAGACACAAAGTTAAAGCCGATTTGAACACGTGCAAACTTCATTACAATGGCCGTTGGTGAACTAAATTTGCGAAAGGAACGCAATTAACAATTGTCAGGGAAATTATTTTAGGCCGGCGGCAATTTTAACAACTCACTACTTTAATAATTTTGAAAGTACTCAACCACTTTGAAATAATCCTGTCAGAACAGCTGGTGCCAAGGTGTCGAGGTCAGGTCATCATTTAATGATAAGGCAACG